AGTAATAACCGATAGGTTTTACCGTGCATTAGATAGAGGTGGAGAGGTTAAGGCTATCGCACTTGACATTTCTAAAGCTTTTGATAAAGTTTGGCATGCTGGTCTTCTCCATAAGCTTTCTTCTTATGGTGTAGCTGGTAACGTCTTTAAGATTATTGAGTCCTTTCTTTCCAATCGTAGTATAAAAGTTGTCCTCGATGGACAACACTCTTCTTCACATCCTGTAACTTCAGGGGTTCCTCAAGGTTCAATCCTTGGCCCTATACTCTTTTTAATTTACATTAACGATCTTCCAGATATTCTCACATCTAAGGTGGCATTATTCGCTGACGACACTACCATTTACTCTTGTCATGATAAGAAGCCTACACTCTCTGATTGCTTGGAGGGGGTATCTGAGCTTGAAAAGGATCTCACTTCTGCTACAGCATGGGGCTCACAGTGGCTGGTGAACTTTAATTCAGATAAAACTCAATTTTATTCGGCCAATCGTTATCGTAATAATTTAGATCTTCCTATATTTATGAATCGTAATGTACTAGATGAGTCATCTACCATTCATCTTCTAGGATTAACTCTTACTTCTGATCTTTCTTTTAAACCGTATATCAAATCCATTACAAAATTAGCATCTGCTAAGGTTGCATCTCTTTATCGAGCTCGACACTTTCTTACTCCAGATTCTATTCTCTATCTCTATAAATCTCAAATCCGTCCCTGTATGGAATACTGTTGCCACATCTGGGGCAGATCTTCTAATGATGCTCTTTCTCTTTTAGACAAGGTGCAAAAACGAATTGTAAACATAGTTGGACCTGCTCTGGCAGCCAATCTCCAACCTTTGTCACATCGTCGTAATGTTGCTTCTCTTTCTCTTTTCTACAAATACTATAATGGGCACTGCTCTAAAGAGCTAGCGTCCCTTGTGCCATCTACTAAAATTCATTCTCGTGTTACTCGCCATTCAATTAAGTCTCATCCTTTTTCTGTGACTGTTCCTAAGTGCTTCAAAAACTCTTATTCTTCTAGTTTTTTTCCTCGAACATCAGTTCTTTGGAACTCGCTTCCTTCATCTTGCTTTCCTGATTCATATAATTTGCAATCTTTTAAGTCATCAGTCAATCGTTATCTTGCTCTACAGATTTAGTCTTTTCTCTTCCAGTAACTTCCAACTCTTATAGTGGTTGCTTGCAGCCTTGTTGGAAGGGAAGATGTTAAAAAAAAAAAAATATATATATATATATATATATATATATAAATTAGGAGAAAATCACTTAACAAAAGTTTTTTGTTTAACACTGTGTTTCATCAATAAAGTTTCATCAGAAAGATTTCTGATGAGTCTTTATTGATGAAACAGTGTAAACTGAAACATTTTGTTAAGTGATTTTCTATTAATTTCTAATTGCCCACTTGTTTTAAGAACATTGAGCACTCTATTTTGTAGAGTACATTTTAAAATTGTTTATATATATATATATATACAGGGGTGGGACCGCAAAATGTGAACACTTTTCTGATTGTAATAATTAATTTTCTGTTAAATATGAACTATTTTAAATAAGAATGTCCAATGGTTGGACATTCTTATTTAAAATAGTTCATATTTAACAACTCTTTAGACACTTTCTGATGAGTGAGAGAGTACAACTACATCTAACAAGAAAATAGTTATAATAAAACAAAAACGTTCACATTTTGCGGTCCCACCCCTGTATATATATATATATATATATATATATATATATATATATATATATATATATATATATATATATATATATATATATATATATATATATATATACATATGCAGTGCCATGCAAATTTATAACCTCACCTAAAATTCAAGATCTCACAAATAATTAAATAATTATTTTTAAATTATTCAATTGCTTAATATCTTACTTGATTGATATTTCATTTGTAATAGAGTCTGGTTTTATTTTGTTAATTGATTTGAAAATTTTACAAAAATGATGGTGCAAAATTATAACCTTATTTAAATTTTACTCTACAAAACTCCATTATGTTTTGTATTGCAACTTGAATTTATTAATAATACTTTGTTTTATTGCTGCCATTTTGAATAACTTGAAATATTCGATTTGGCATACTTTCCAAGCGTTTTCTAAGATCTGCAAGAGATATGTTCTTCCAAATGTGAACAATTGCCTTTTTTAATTCATTGATGTTTGAATATTGTTTTCCTTCTGCATAAACACGTCTTGCTAAGATGCCCATACGTTTTCAATGGGAATTAAATCAGGTGAGAGTGTTTGCCATTCTAATAATATAATTTTCTTGCTGGTAAACCATGAGATATTTGACTTTGCTCTATGAATTAGAGCATTATCTTGCTGGAAAATATAATTGGTGTTACCAAATTTTTGCAAAATATCATTCAAATGACCATTCAACAAATTTCTATATCCTTCAGCATTTAATATAGTAGTAATAAAGCCAATCAAGGTTTTTCAAAAATAACTGAATGCATCCCAAATCATTAATTCTCCGCCTTCCATAGCCCTTCTTTTTGAAAAAATATTCTTTTTTTAATATAATACCAGTAGTAATTAAAGCCATCTGGACCATCAAGATTGAATTTTTTTTTATGAGACCACACAATTTTTTGCCATTCTTTTTCCCAAGCCATGTGTTCCTTGGCCTATTGAAGACAAATGGGCTTGTATGCTTCAGTTAGTACTGGAGATGTGCGTTTTTTTGCATATCTAAGAAAGCCTGACTTGTTAGTTACATGTTTTACCATCCATCTTGAGCATTTCAATCCCAAATCGGCGCCTATTTTTCTTCCGGAGATTGTACGGTTACTAGCAGCATGCACAACTTGTCGCTGTTGGCGAGCTGTAAGTATAGATTTTCTATACATACAGCAATGACCAGTAAACTTCAATCTTGCTTTTTTCTTCATCAGAGAGTTCTTTATCAGATTTCCTCTTGGCATTTGTTAGAATGTATTTTATAATTTGAAAATGTAATGAATTTAATTTGAAAACGGAATTTACTATTATTTTTTTATGGCTTTTAATGCATTTTAGAAATGAGGTTATAAATGTGCACCACGGTTTTAAACGGTTTTATAATTTGAGTTAATTAAAGTATAAATAGATTCATGTAAATTATTTTGTTTATTTCAAAAAATGATCTACAAATAGATTTTGATCAACAAACTTTGAAAGATAGTTTTAAGGTTTCTATACAGGTGAGGTTATAATTCTGCACCCCACTGTATATATGTGTAGATATACATATACATATATGTACTTTTTACTTTTCCTTTTAGGAAAAGTGAAAAAGACGTCTTTGACTATCTTATTGCCTACTATTGGTAGGAGTGCTGCTACATCCACTGAGGGTTTGGTTAGGGTCAGGATTAAAGTCAGGGTTAGGTTTAGGGGTTGGGTTAGGTTTAAATATTGTTATGTTTCTGTAAATAATTGTTTTTGTAAATAGATGGAATAAAATATGAAATAATATATATAATAATTAAATAAAAATAACAAAAACAATTATAACAAATATATTTTTATAACAAAATATTAAGTTTAAATATGTATAAATAAAATATAAAAAAAAGGAAAAAAAAAGTTATTTAAGGGAATGAAATTAAGTATCCCTGTTAACTCTGACTAGGAGTATATATATCAACCCACGGCTGGCAGTTAGGTTAACCCTAATTTCAAGAGTTTTATATATACAGTGGCTATTCTAGATTGTTTTTGATAGCGTCAACCGTATTTTGGTGCAGCCCAAATTAAAATTTGAGGACCTTTTTTTTTTTTTTTTAAAAAAAAAAAAAAAAAAAATTTATAAGTGCTTTTACTAAATTATTATTATTGCTCTGTTCTTTAAGAACATTGAGCACTCTATTTATAGAATACACTAACATAATTTATATATATATATATATATATATATATATATATATATACAGGGGTGGGACCGCAAAATGTGAACGTTTTTGTTTTATTATAACTATTTTCTTGTTAGATGTAGTTGTACTCTCTCACTCATCAGAAAGTGTCTAAAGAGTTGTTAAATATGAACTATTTTAAATAAGAATGTCCAACCATTGGACATTCTTATTTAAAATAGTTCATATTTAACAGAAAATTAATTATTACAATCAGAAAAGTGTTCACATTTTGCGGTCCCACCCCTGTATATATATATATATATATATATATATATATATATATATATATATATATATATATATGTGTGTGTATCTATATATATACAGGGTGTAAACCAGAAATATTTTTTTACTGTATTTTTGAATATAATAACTAAAAGTTATATTCATTCGCATTAATTTTTCAAAAAGGTCACCCACTAATAAAAAATTAAAATAATAGTAAAATAATAAAATAATGTTGCAGTTTGTAATTAACTTTAATTTTTTTACATTTTATTATTAGATAAAATAAATTTTAAATTAAGTTTCTTAAAGTTTATACTTCAAGGTAAGTCTTTAAGGACACATCTCTCTTGATGAGCTCACAAAAAAATAACTTGAAAATACATAAGTTGATTCTTCAATTTAATCTTGTTTCCAAATGGTGTGTGATGTATTAGTAAAATTAGTTTTAGAAAAGGATACATTTTTTTATAAAAATATATATGCTTTGCAAAGCTTGAAAAACAGATTCATCTCTCCATCCTAAAACTTCGTATTTTAAAGAAAGATCATTGTTGTCAAATACTATCATGTTAAGTTTTTGTAATTTTCAAGTACGAGTTGAACAAAAGAGTAATATAAGTCTAGTGAGGTAGACTTGTACATACAGAATAAATGACCAACTTCAAAAGTTCATGATATTGGCATGAAACATACTGAGGATTATCAAACTCAAGATCACCAAATTTTTTTTGTAGTCTGGTTTTTACATCATTTTTTCGTAACTTTTTTTTTCCTTTTATAATCATTTTCATACAGCTCTCTAAGTCAAAAAGGCCAACAATTTCTATGAATCCATTCAAATTAATTTTTTATCATCTTTAAAGGCAAGAACAGCTAATTTAATTTCTTTTGTTGTATTTTTGATAACTTTGCATCTGTTAAAAATTTTACAACTGGTGAAGTTATACGTTTCCTTTATTTTCTGAAGTTAGTATCAGATATTTGTGTGTTAAATCATTCATCTCCACTAAAAATCATTTATCTCCACTAAAAAGCCTCAATTGATGTAACATCACTCCTTGCATGTTCTACCTAATTAAGTCAATGTACACTTGCTTTAGCTTTTACCCATTGAAGCAAGTTTATCTACGTACATTCTGCTGCACTAATCCTAAATAAATCAATAAATCACAACAATGAAAAAACAGTTAATTAAAACAACTAAAATTAAGTACTAAAAACAGTAAAAAAAATTATAAAAAATATCCTGGATTAAATAAAATTTAAAAAATAAAATTTTTTCTATTAAGTTGTGTTTTTGTGATTTTTTAAAAAGCAATAAAATTTAATTAGTGTGTGTGTGTATATATATGTATATATTGTGTAATTAAATATGCATATATATGCATATCTAGTTGCACAATAATTTATGTGTCATATCACGACATTAGAATTATCTTGTTCTAAGACTTTAGAAAATGACATATAAAATTTTTTTACAACATGTTTTCTCTGCAACTTTTTTACTTATAACTTAGGTTTCAATACATTAGAAAAACATTATTCTGAGGTACACAATACTATCAAAATCTCAATTTTTTCAAAAAGTAGAGTTAGAACAAGATAATTCTGACATCTGATATTAATTTCTTTATAAACTTTAATTTAATTAATGGTTAATACATTGAGCTCCTTAAGGTGTTTTTGCAAATATAAACTGTTTTTCTTTAGGTGTTACACAATAAGAGAAGATATGAAACTGGTCTTGATAAACTTGCTTTTGCCTCATCACAGGTTTCATATGTTTTATTATTGTTTTACATTTTTTCTTCATTTTATTGAGTTAGCATTGTCTTTAATAATGAATGTTGACAGATGTTTAAAATCAATTTTTTTTTTAGGTTGCTGATATGCAAATTGAATTAGAAAAACTTCAGCCTCAACTTTTTGTTGCATCACAAGAAAATGAAACAATGATGGCGGTAAATAATTTTCAAGTTATTTTAAATTCATTCAGTGGTGTCATTTTTTATTCATTCAATGCTGACAGTGGCGTCATTAGTTTAAAAAATTTGGATTTCTGTTAAAACTCTTTTAAATGAACATAAAAACTTTTGTTGCTATGGCTTAGAATTTTAAATAGTAAAAATGTAATAATAACTAAACCAATTTATTTATTATGTTTACTGTTGTTACTTGTGCTTTTAATTATGTGCCTTAACTATGTTAACTATGTCTTTTTGATATTATATATTAATATTAATTATTTTTAATTTAATTATTGATATTATATATTAAATATTTTTGATTGCTGATGTTAACATCATAAACATTTTTGAAATTTTAAATTGCATTTTAGTGACTTTTATTTGTAGCAGTTCTTGTAGATAAACATTTTGAGGTTGGCTTTTAAATCTACTTTGTCTTGCAAATGTCTACTTCATCATTTCCAATCAAAAATGTTTTTTTTTTTTTGATTATCAAACCAAAACTTTGGGCAGGATTATAAAACTTTGACAATATAGTATGACAGATCTTTATTGTATAAAATAATATTTTTTTAGTAAATTGTGTTTGGATTCAAATCAGCATTTCAAACATTAAATTGTACAGAGTTTACTAGTATTTTGCTGATCTTAATAAATAATAATAAGTATATATATATATATATATATATATATATATATATATATATATATATATATATATATATATATATATATATATATATATATATATATGTATATATATATATATATATATATATATATATATATATATATGTATATATATATATATATATATATATATATATATATATATATATATATATATATGTATACATATGTATATTATATATGTAAATATATATAAAACAATAAAAAGACATAAAAATGTACTCTTCACATAAAAATTAGGCAATAACATCAATGTCCTTATTGATGATGAAATGTTATGCCAACAACTTGAATATAAACAAGTAGGTATTGGATATTGTATCGAAATAGATATCCTTAAAGAAAATGATAAAAATGTTGACCATTCCTAATTCAAAATCATTTCTGCCACTGTCTTGGGTAGAAATAGAAATAAGTATCAAACCATATAGGTTTGTTGATCTTTTTTCATTGAATTATTTTTTATTGTGGCATAGAATAAGTTTGGCATACTTGGAAAGAGTCTTAATCTTACTGAAAAATATAAAGTCAAAACAAAGAATGCCTATTGGTAGGGTACTAACAAAGTACTAACTAAATTGCTTATCAAGATTGATGGTAAGGAAAAAAAATCATACTATCTGACAAAAGCCAATTAAAACTGGCTATTAAATCCATGGCCGAAAAATAAACCATAATACAGAAAAATAAGTCTTTAGTTTTTAAAGATGGAAGATAAGTTACATGGACAACAAAACTCACATTTTCTCAATTAAAAATATAGTACAAATTTTTTTTGAGAGAGATAGAAGCAAGAATAGCCACGATGATAATGATAAAACTATAGTAGTAGATGATAATGGTAGCAATCATTTATGAATTTCATTTTTTGTTTTATTGTTTTAAAAAACAGAAGTATTTGTGAATTTCTTTTTCAATTTTATCATGACTTTATTGTGTTAGAAAAAATTAATTTGTAAAAGAAGCTTTTAAAGCAAGTGAGAAAACTAAAAACGTACATGGCAACATGTCTCACTTTTGGCAGTACATGGTACATGGCAACATGTGCTTGTTCTGAAAGTAGAAGAGTAAATGTTATCAATAGTTTACAATAATTATTTTGGTTTTTGCAAACTTTCTCTAGTATACCTGTATGAGAATTATACTGCATGCAAAAAGTTTTATAAAAAGTAGTGACAATCAACTCAAAACATTGGCGGACATTTAACATTTAGCTCTCAGACAACCAACCAAAATCTGAGTGCACACCACTATATATATATATATATAAATATATATATATATATATATATATATATATATATATATATATATATATATATATATATATATATATATATATATATATATATATATATATATATATATATATATATATATATATATATATATATATGCTTATTATTTTTAGTTGGATAGTTAAAATACATGTTTTTGATTGGTTAATAATGATATTTTTAATTGAGTAAAGACAACACATGGAATACCCATGGAAACCCATGGATATGCAAATGTAGTTTAAGTATTCAGATAAGTATTCAGATTAGAGAGAGATTTCAGATTAGAAAGTGAACACATGGAAAATAATTGAAATAAAGACTCTACCTCTTTAAAGTTTAGAGATATAAAAAACTGTCAAAAGTTAGTGTATGTTAAAACAAGAACAACAAAAATAATTAAAAAATATAAACGTGAAATAACGCCATATACAACTAAATGTGATGACCATCTGCTTTGATGTGATAGAGAATCTTGTTTTGTCAAAGCTACCTATAGAAGTAACCTACTATTCTCTGCAACTCTAGCTTTATGCATTTTTTTACACAGGAATGACAGAGTTAGGATCTATCTACTATAGCATATTTATATGCACAATTGCTCACTTTTTTTGCTAGTCTAAATTAAGTGAGCGTTTTGAGAAAACAATGAGGGAAAACGAAGAATAATGAATGAAAAGGTTGCTGACCTATACCAAACCCTCAGTCAATGTAGCAGCACTCCACTGTGAGTCAGGCTATTTGTCAGTGGATGTATGTACTGAAGCCCCCGCAGCAGGCTATTTCAGTATGATGTCATCATGCTCACCTAACTCAGCAGTATAAGATATATATATATATATATATATATATGTGTATATATATATATATATATATATATATATATAATATATATATATATATATATATATATATATATATATAAATTTTCTAGATAAAGTTTTTAAATAACTTTATATATTTTATTTGTTTTTTAGATTATTGAAAAAGAGTCAAAAATTGCTTCTGCTCAGCAAGAAATTGTTAAAGCTGATGAAAGTGTTGCTAAGCAACAAACTGCTGAATCCCAAGCTTTAAAAAATGAATGTGAAGCAGATCTTGCTGAAGCCATTCCAGCTCTTGAAGCTGCATTGGCTGCATTAGATACATTAAAGGTATTTATTAATACTATACTTTGTATTTTATTGTTTACAGTTTACATTTTTTATCTTTAATTTAATTTTTGTTTAAATATATATATATATATATATATATATATATATATATATATATATATATATATATATATATATATATATATATATATATATATATATATATATATATATATTTGTAATTGTAACTTGTAACTTATATTGATATTTGTATAGTGTTGTTTATATATTTGTAATGTATTTCTTTAGCCTGCTGATATAACAATTGTTAAGTCTATGAAGAATCCTCCACCAGGGGTAAAGTTAGTAATGTCGGCTATTTGCATTATGAAAGATATTGCTCCTGATAAAGTTAATGATCCATCTGGTTCTGGGAAAAAAGTATTAGACTTCTGGGGACCCTCATTGAAGCTATTGGGTGATATGAATTTTTTACATTCATTGAAAGAATATGATAAAGATAACATCCCCGTGAGTTTATTCTTTCAATTTTGACCAATAAAAAAAATTAAAATTTTAGTTTACATAACAAAAAACCTGTTTTATAGGCACATATAATGAAAAAAATACGTTCTGAGTTCATTTCCAACCCAGAATTTGACCCAGTAAAGGTACGGTCAGCTTCATCGGCAGCTGAGGGTTTATGCAGATGGGTAAAATCAATAGAAATATATGATCGAGTAGCAAAGGTAATTAAAAATTTTGTTCAATTTTTATCAATGAAGTAGATTTTAAAAGCAATTTATATTATAACTATAAACTTTAGGTTGTTGGGCCAAAGAAGATCAAATTAGCTGAAGCAGAAGAATCTTTAGCGTCCACAATGGAATTATTAAACATTAAAAGAGCTGCTTTATCTGAAATAGAAGAAAAGGTGGCTATATTGACCTCTCAACTTATTGAAATGAACAACAAAAAAGCTCAGCTTGAATTTCAGGTAAATTTGTTCTAAAATCTATTTTCAGTAACATTCAAAAACTTAATAATTTAAGTTAATAATTATAATAATGATAATAAATAGTAATAATGATAATGATAAATAATAATTCAAACTAAGTTAAATTGTTTCAATAGGTTGATTTATGTGGTAAAAAATTAGAGCGTGCTGAAAAGCTTATTGGTGGTTTAGGTGGAGAAAAAACAAGATGGGCGGCTGCTGCTACTAATCTTCAAAAAATGTTTGAAAACTTGACTGGTGATGTATTAGTATCATCTGGTGTAATTGCTTATCTTGGGGGATTTACTTCTGCTTTTAGAAAAGAATATTGTGAAGAATGGACCAAGTTATGTTTGGTAAATGATTTTTATAGTTTGCATTTGTTATATATGATTAAAGAAATATGTTATTATAATATTATGTATATAAGTATGTTATTATAAATAAAGTTATTAAATGTGGAAATAAAAAAGTTTACAAATTCCAAACATTTAGGATCTTGGCATAAAATGCTCAAAAGATTTTTCCTTAATGAAAATTCTTGGAAATCCTGTCAAAATTAGAGAATGGAACATAGCAGGACTTCCTACTGATAGTTTCTCAATTGACAACAGTGTCATAGTGGAGAATTCACAACGATGGTACACTTTTTATTACTATTTTGTTTTTGAATAATATTTTTTTCAATAAGTTTTATAATTTATACAATATTAGTTTTATTGAATTTAACTTTTGACCATTTAAAAACTTAACATTGCAACTGCATGTTATTTTATTAGTTAAATAAGCCTGGTAGGTATTAAGCTAGGTAAGCTTGTTAAAGTTTGACATTTATTAACAAGTTATTCTAATTTTATTATGGTATATAAACATAACGAAACCTTTAACAAAGCCTTTTTTTAAGCAATATAGATATTACAAGTGTATATTGTTTTGTTCTATTAACTAGATATTAAAGTAGTAGAGGTATTTAAGGTATTTAAATTAATTTGTTAAGATCTTATAAAGTTATTTACTTTTATATGAATCTCTTTACATAAGTTGTGTTTGTGATATGTGTGTAAGAAAAATTTAAAGTGTAAACTTTTAGTACAGTAATTTTTTCTACTTTTTGGCATTTTTTTATACTTAATAGGTTTATTGGTTTTGATTAAAACTCAACCTAAAACTGATAAATTGTAAAATATACCACTAGTTAACAAGATTATATAGATTGAGTGATTTCCATATTTTCTCTGTAGTAAATAAAATATTTATTAATCTGGTTTTATTAAACTCAGTTTTATGTTTTCTAAGTTTAACAGTTGCATAATTAAAGGTACGAAATGCATTTACTCTATTTTTTTTAATAAGTTATTGTAAATATGGACCTGAAGTTGAAATAAATGCTGAAAAAAAGATTTAGAAAATCTTTTCTACATTTGTTTCAACTTCAACTTTATTTTATTTCCTGCAAAAAAGTTGTATTTAGTAGTTGCAATTTTTTATTTTAATTTATTAACTGTTGTTGCTAATTTAGTGACTGTTATATAATATATTTGTTGGCTGTTATGTTAACATAAATTTGATGTATAATTTATTTTTGTAAAGTCTTTTTTTTTTTAAATTAGGCCTTTAATGATTGATCCAGAAGGGCAAGCTAACAAATGGATTAAAAATTCGGAAAGAGAAAATAAACTCTCTGTAATTTTTTAAGCATTATTTTTTTTTTTTTTTAATTTTTATTACTAAAAAATATTTGATGCATTTTACTTGAGATCCTATTACAATATCTTTTTGTGATTTTAAAAACAATTTTACATCAAAAATATTTTTATATAAGCTTTTTAAAAATTTAAATTTTTAAAGGTTGTGAAGTTATCAGACACTGATTATCTTCGAACACTTGAAAATAGTATTCAGTTTGGTACTCCTGTGTTGATTGAAAACGTTGGAGAAGAGCTTGACCCTTCACTTGAACCTCTTCTTTTGAAACAGACTTTTAAGCATGGTATTGATTTAAAAAAAAAAAATTTACATTTTATATTTTTATGTAATGAAAAAAAATGTATGATTTAAAAATGAATTATATAATGAATTATTAAGTATATAATGTGAAGCTTTTTATTGTGACATGTACTATTGTACTTTTGAGTATATGTGACATGTTTATTTTTAATTTGAATCAACATATATTGGTGTTGTGACAATACTATAAACAATCTTTGGAAATAATTTGCAGTAAAAGCGTAAAAAAGTTTTGTTTGATGAAACACAAAATTTGTTTGAGCAGCAACCATGGTTGAGACAAATACTCAATCTTCCCAGCTTTACCAGATTCAACATCATTTACAATCAAGTTTTGGATTATGGAAAGCCAAAGAACCATCACAATGACAGTGATCATACTTTTGTATGATTAATATTACAAAGTACAGAAAAGTTAAAAGGAGATAAGCTCTTCAATATCCAGATATGCCATCATCTACAGCACCTGTACCACAATAATTATTGCAATTTTTTTGTCATAGAAATTACATTATATTTATTAGCAATAAACAACTGAGTTTTGATTGGATTAAAATTGATAAGGGAAGAAAACATTACTATGAATTAATTTCCCAGTTAACAGCCAGACCGTTGGTCCTAGAAACTTGAAATTTAGCATGGATGATCCCCATGACCCAAGGAGTGACATAGTCAAGCTGACCTCGGAGGTCACTTGAGGCCCCCCAAGGTCTATGTATGTATTGTATTTGTATGAAATTAAACATGTATATGTATTGTAGGTCTATGTATGTATCCAATGGATAGCGGGGTCTTTCAAATGGTCATTTCTGGGTCAGGGGGGCTGGATAGTGTTCCTTGTGAAGTGCAGAGTTATTACTCGCCCCCGGGGGTGGGGGTGCAGATGATCTGGGGGGTTGCTAGAGGTTGTAATGGTCTGGGGGACGGGTTGAGTGTTTCCTATGATATGATTTTTGTTGGTTTCTGTTGTGCTCCATGGATTGCTGTTGCCTGTTTTGTCGTTTTCCAGAGTTTTCTGGAATGTTACATGTTTTTCCGGACTGGGCCAGAATTTTCCGAAGTGGTCCGGAGTTTTCCGAAATGTTCCATAGTGCACAATTTGGCTGTTCTATCACCTTCCAGAGCATTCAGGGGCAATCCGGAGTGTTCCATGGTACTCTTTTTATTGGGTTGCTGAGGTGAACGCATCATTTGCGGGGTTGCAGTTCTGGGAGTCAGTTTGGGGGGTCAGTTTGCTCTTTGCATGTTGCTGCGGGGAACAGGTGGGGAAATATTGTTTTTTGGTCGTAACTAATTTATTTTTGGTTCTTTTATTTTGTGGTGGTCAACTTGGTACAGGGGCATTGTTCTTTTCAAATGAGTATTGTGTATGAATATATATAAAGTTATGTGTGTATGGTGTATATAAAATCCCTGGATGGAAGAACTTTTAGTGTTGTGTACCAAGAGGCTCTGCAACGATTTTTTTATAGTATCCAGGATTGAGAGTTTATTAAATAAGTAATTGATTTTTGTAGGGTTGGTTTTCTTTGTACACCAGCAACTTTGATTTTTTTGCAGGTGCCTAGCGATGCGGGCACCTCTGCTAGTGATATATAAAGTGTAAATTAATGTTTAGTTATGCATAACCATCCAGCTACACAACCACCATCCAGTTACATTATTGTTATCTACTTACACAAATAGCATTCAGTTAGATAGTTGTTGTGTTATTACAAAATCGTTATCTAGATACATGACCATTATTGAGTTGCACGAACACCATCTGGTTACACAATCATCATCCAGTTATACATCTTTTATTCATTTATACAACTAAAAGTCATTTGTGCAATCCCCATTCAGCTACATTGTTCAAAATAAATTATAAAATTTTTTTTTTTTTTTTGTTAAATTATTTTAAATAAAACCAATGAAAAAAATTTGAGTTATTGGTTATATTAAAATAAAAAGAATTTATTGCAAAGAGAAAGCTAATAAAGTATTATATATTAAAAAGAACTCATTGCAAAAAAAAGTTATATAATAAAATACAAATACAATAAAAGAAAATAATTAAAATTTTGTTAAAAAAACATTGAGTGCAATATCAGGGATGTGGTTGGGATTTTCAAACAAGATTTTAACACTGTTTTGATTACTTATTTCAGGTATAAAAAAGTTTTAAACTGCTGCCCCTTTTTGAGTTATAGGAGAGCAGGGGGGTTATATGAGTTAGCTAAGATTTAGCATCACACTGCATATGATATATGAAATATTTCTTTTTCAAATTTACTAAACAATAACTAGGAATTTTGGCTATTAACAATTAAACACCTATATAAAAATTAATAATCTACTAACCTGCTAAAATTATTTAGTTGAAGTGGGTCATTTTGCCCATCTTACCCTAACAGCAGGATGAGATAAGCTATGCATTATACACTGTTACATAAATTTTATATTTGAGATGGTGCAAAATTCCATTAACTTCTCCAGGAAGCAGAAAAACTTATTTACAGTATTTTCATTAAAAAGATTTGTTCTAGTGATTGATGTCAACTCTGGCCGTAAAAAAAAAAAAAGAAATAAAGCAAATCACTTCCTGTAACTTTTTTAACTTTAAATTAGTGCTTCAATCCAATCTTCCCTGTTGAATCAAATGTTAGTTTACATAATTCAATTCTTGTTTATCCATGAAATATTTCTTCCATTTGCTTAATGTAGTCAATTGATACTAATTCATAATTTAAAGACAATATGGGAGTACCCCTGTCTAGATATTTTTTGTTTCTTCAGCAAATTTGTTTTTACCATGTGCTTTTCTTTGAAGTGTGTTTTTTATACATTTATGTGTTTTGCAGCTTTCAAAATTCATATTTCTTTAGCCTTGATAGCACCAATGGCTGTCCTGTTGAGTCTTCTGATCATTTTTCTTGTTCAGTTTTTCTTTTATAAGTATGTGGCATTACACATGAGCAAGTTTAAAACAAGTTTTTAGTATAAATATACTTCGGAAAATGTGTACAGCAAAAATTTGGTGAGACCCAACTACCAGCCCAATTTAACCTGCCGACATCTGCTTATCTCATCTAAAATTATTTTTAAAAAACTCATTTACATATGTAAAAAAAAATTGTTTCATAAGAATTTCAGCTACATAAGTATGGTACTTACATTTCATATATATTTCATCATTAAAAAAATTTGGGAGTGCTTACATTAGGTGAAACAGCAATTAATATACTAGTTCATACTGACTTGTCTATCTCAGCTACAGTTCACTTTAAAATCTCTGATTTTAAAGTAAACAATAAGCTATATGCTGAAAATATTTTTTATAGGTGGTATTATGTGCATTCGTATGGGTGATAAAGTAATTGAATATTCTGCTGATTTTAAGCTATTTATTACAACAAAACTTCGTAATCCGCATTATCTGCCAGAGGTTGCAACTAAAGTAACTATTGTCAATTTTATGATCACTCCTGAAGGTCTTGAAGATCAATTGCTTGGAATTGTAGTTGCTAAAGAAAGGTGATTATTGCGCTTTTTTGAACATGAAGCAATTGTTATTTATTATAATTTTGAATACAAAAATTTTTTTAATTTGTTTTTACAGACCAGAGTTAGAAGATGAGCGTCAAGCATTAATCTTGCAGAGTGCTGCAAATAAAAAGCAGTTACAAGAGATAGAGAATATGATTTTAGAAACTCTATCATCATCAGAAGGAAATATTTTAGAAGATGAAACAGCAATTAATATACTAGATTCTTCAAAGGTATTTGTTAATATGATTTGAAATATTTTTTGTATTAATTTTAAGTTATTTTTATTATTATATTTTGTTAATAGATATTATCAGATGAGATTAATCGGAAACAAAAGGTAATATTTTTTGTTATTGATAACAACATCACCACAATGACAGTTTTTTGTTTACAAGTTTACTTCCTCCGGACCCAGGTTTACTTCCTCAGGACCCAGGTTTACTTCCTCAGGACCCAAGTTTACTTCCTCAGGACCCAGGTTTACTTCCTCAGGACCCAGGTGTCATCAAAAGTAGCAAATCATAACAATAATAAATGTAAACCTATATAAACAAAAACATTTAATAATAATGGAAGTTGAACACTATACTACCAGGAGATATATGCTATCTTGTGAACCTTTTCTTTAACACTACTGACACACTTAATATTATCAATTATTTACAATGCAAGTTGTATTTTGTGTTATATTTTTGTGTTATTATAACATGTCTATTACTGCATTGATATGGTTAATTGCAAGAGATATATTAAACCTCGTTGACTTTATTACACTATATTTCTTTTCAATATATATTTTTTCACTATATTTTTTTTCACTATATTTTTTTCACTATATATTTTTTTTTGCTTTATTTTTCTTCTTCTCTAAAGTAATTCTTATTAACATAAAAAATTTTGGGCACAATTATATAGATAGCTGATGAAACAGAGAAAAAGATTAATCAGTCTAGACAAGGCTATCATTCTATCGCAACTCATTCTTCAATTTTATTCTTTTCAATAACTGATTTACCAAACATTGATCCAATGTACCACTATTCGTTGGCATGGTTTGTCAACTTGTATATTGCAGCTATCCAAGATAGGTAAAAAAGTTGAAAAATATTTATTTAGAAGTAAAAAGTTGAAACTTTAACTTGCATTAAAAATTAATGAAATTATTTTTTTATTTTAGCAATAAATCGAAAATCTTGGAAAAGAGACTTCGTTATTTAATTGATTATTTCACATACAGTTTGTACTGCAGCATTTGTCGATCTCTTTTTGAAAAAGATAAACTTCTATTTGCATTTATTTTGACCGTAAATGTGTTAACAGCAAAAAAAGAAATTACTCGCAATGAGTTTATGTTTTTTTTAACGGGAGGTGTGGGATTAGAAAATAAAATTCCAAAACCTGATGCAACATGGTTAACCGACAAATCATGGGATGAAATATGTCGATTATCAGAATACATTCCTTTTAAAGGTTTTAGGTAATCTTAGTTACTTCTTGTACATAATTGAATATTATTTATAAATATAGTGATAAAATTTTGCTCATTAATGATGTTACAGGAGGATGATAAAAATAATTTTTTTAAGAGATCATTTTACAAAGAGTTTAATAACCTGGAAGAGTATCTTTGATAGTAAGGACCCTGAGAAAAGTGTTTTGCCTCATCCATGGAGTGAAAATTTAAGTGATTTTCAAAAGATAATTGTTATACGATGTTTGCGACCAGACAAGGTTATACCATTAGTTAGAAATTTTATTGAAGAAAAGCTTGGTAGAAGGTTTACTGAACCTCCTCCATTCGATCTAACAAAAAGTTACAATGATTCCAACCAATGTTCGCCATTAATATTTATTTTATCCCCTGGAGCTGATCCTATGGCTGGATTGACACGATTTGCAGCTGATAAAGGTTTTGGTGAAAATTTTACTTCAATTTCTCTAGGACAAGGACAGGTAACATTATTGGTGTTTTAAATAACTACTATTGTCTTTTAATAACTATTAAGTCTTTAGAGTATTAAGAATTAGTATTTATTTATAATAAAACAGTGTTTAGAAGTATAATAATAGATTAGTACTATGATTCATATTATTGATAAAGAAGTGTTTAGATCTTTTAAATGAAAAAAACTTTTTTCAGGGATCAATTGCTGCAAAAATGATAAAAAATGCTTGTGAAAATGGAAGCTGGGTTGTTTTACAGAATTGTCATTTGGCTGTGTCTTGGATGCCAGCACTGGAAAAAATATGTGAGGAAATGTCACCAAATATTGTTAATAAAAAGTTTCGTTTGTGGCTAACTAGTTACCCATCACCTAAATTTCCTGTCACAATTTTGCAAAACAGTGTTAAAATGACTAATGAGCCACCTACAGGTTTACGTCAAAATTTGTTGCAGTCATATTTGAGTGACCCCATATCAGATAAAGTTTTTTTCAATTCTTGTCCTGGAAAAGAGTCAGTAAGTATTTTTTTTGTTTCCTTTAAAACTTATTTTGGTTTATCTTTTTAATATAATTTTTTTGTTCCTTCAAATTTTGAAAAGTATAACACAAGCCAAATTGTTTACATAAAAATTATAAAATTAATTATGTTATATGTTTTCGTTCAAATTTTATTACATACAAATTCTTGTGTTTAGAACTGGGAAAAATTGTTGTTTGGTTTGTGTTTTTTTCATGCTGTTGTACAAGAAAGGAAAAAATTTGGACCTATTGGATGGAACATTCCATATGGATTTAATGAATCTGATCTACGAATTAGTATAAGGCAATTACAGGTACTAATCAAGTGTAATTATTTTGGATTGAATTATATTTTTTTTACAAAACATACTCTCAAATCTTTAAGTTAAGTGTTAATTTTTTGTATATGTATTAAGTGTTTTTTAGGATAGGTGTTAATTATTTGTAAGGATATGTATAAAGTTTTTTTACTTCAATATCTGTGTTGTAAGTTTAAGAAGATGTTTTTAAAGAATATTATACTTTTTAAGAACATATTTTATTCACTATTTAACTGTCTAATCTTTTTAAAGAAGATTTTTAGAACAAAATTTAAATCTCAATTACTATTTATTCTAAACGTATCATCACATCAATAAATGTATCATCACATCAATAAATGTATCATCACATCAATAAAATTTTGTTAAAAACAATGAAATTTTTTTTTGAGTTGCAGATTTTTATTATTTTTTTAAAGATGATAAAAAATTAATATAAGTTATGATTCAATGAAAACAAAGTTATTTTTGAAAAAATTAATATAAGTTATGATTCAATGAAAACAAAGTTATTTTTGAAAATATTAATATAAGTTATGATTCAATGAAAACAAAGTTATTTTTGAAAATATTAATATAAGTTATGATTCAATGAAAACAAAGTTATTTTTGAAAATATTAATATAAGTTATGATTCAATGAAAACAAAGTTATTTTTGAAAATATTAATATAAGTTATGATTCAATGAAAACAAAGTTATTTTTGAAAATTAAATAAAGTTATTTTTGAAAATTAAAGCAACTTTCAAATGTCAAAACATTCATGGAAACTTTTTTTTTTTTTTAGTTTTATTTACCTCCCCAAGGCCCAGAGGTCAAATAAGGTTACTTTATTGTGGCTGCAACTCTCTCTCTCTCTCTCTTTCTCTCTCTCTTTCTCTCTCTCTCTCTCTCTCTCTCTCTCTTAACTCTTTAACTCCAAAACACGAACCTTGACAAACAAGGCCGTTGTGCAGAGAAACAAGTTGAGCATGTTACTACCAAGGACTTATAACTTTAAAATATCAAAGCATCATATTAATGAAAACTTTGAAACATTAAAACATTGCATTAAAACAATTCATCAAAACTTTAAAGCTATTTCTTATATTTTAGCAGTTTATTGTTTTAATTTTGAATAACCTAATATCTTTCTTAATTTAAAGTTTAAATTTGAAATGAATGCAGTTTATTTAATGATGAGGTATGATAACATTAATAAAATTTTATTGAATGTTTAATTCACTCTATTTATGAGTGAGTGCTTAAACTTTTGATTAAACTTGATTAAAGTTAAACTTGGGATTTTGTATGTGTTTGTATATCGATTGGAACACAGACAGCCACAGTACCCAAAAGGAATTAAAAAATAGTTATTTATTTTATAGAGTTTTAGTAATGGTAGAACTAAAAAAAGTTACTGTTATCATTTGTATTTTTTTAATTACATGTTTATAAATAATATAAAAATAAATTTTTTCATCAATAATAATGACCAACACTTAATTATTTAAAGGTTTCCAATCAAGGCATAAACATTATATGACATAAACATAAAAGCTACAATGCATTAATAAAACATTGTTTAAAGGAATAAAATTTTTTAGCAAAAAAGTTCAATTTTTTAAAAGTTTTAAATAGTTATAAAATTGAGATATTTAGCTAGCCAGGGGCTATTTTAGACTGTTTTGGACAGCGTCAACCGTATTTGGGCGCTGATTTGGGTGCCGCCCAAATTAAAATTTACGGCAAATATCGTTATTTTTGAGAAAAAACTGCTGATTTTCTGCTAAAGTTGGCCAAAATGAGGAGGTACTGCCACCCAAATTTTTTTTCTAGAATAGATCCTGCTATCTAAAATATGTTCAAAATCACAAGTGTGTAAAAATAAATTTAATGTCAATTCTTTTTGGAATCAAGATATGAAATCTTTTTGAATGTGTAGTATATTTTTAATGTTTTTCTTTAGATGTTCATCAATGAATATAATGAAATACCATTTGATGCAATATCTTACATGACTGGAGAATGTAATTATGGAGGTCGAGTCACAGATGATAATGATAGGTAAAGATTTTTTTTTTCAAATAATAAATATTGGATTATTTATATTATATTTTATTTAGACGTTGTTTAATGAGCATCTTAAAAGATTTTTGTACACCTGAAGTTATTGTTAATTTAAATCATAAGCTATCTCCAAGTGGTCGATATTGTATCCCACCAAAGAGTAGCTATGAAGATTACATTGAGTTTATTAAGGTACTGTAATTTTTTTAATTTAAAAAAGTATTTTTCTTTTTTTTCACACTTATATTATTGTAAAATAAAATTTTTTTAAATCTTCTAACTAATATGTAATGTTATATATTAATTTTTAATTAGATTAATTTAATATTAATTTAGTTATATATTAATTTAGTTATACATTGATGCAAAAAGTTTATTATTATCGCCATCATTATCAATCAAAATTTTTTATTATTATCATTTTCATGTTTTTCTACTTTTGACTGTTTTTATATATATATATACAAAAGTAGAACATATATATATATATATATATATATATATATATATATATATATATATATATATATATATATATATATATATATATATATATATATATATATATATATATATATATATATATATAACAAAACAAGTGAATATTGTTATAAATACTTTCAAACGATTTTTTAAAACTACAAAGAAAACACTTTAGCCAATAGAATCAACATTTGATTTAACATTTAAATTTTTTAAATGTTGAATCAAAGAAGTTGTACATTGACTTCATTTTAATAAATATTATATAAAATGTTTGATAAAGAAAAATTAATTATAAATGTATTTACAATTAAAACTGTATTTTTGGCTGTATTATTTAAAATAATTATTTGAAAAAAATATTGTTTGTTAAAATCTTTTTCAAAGAATTTATTTTTATTCAAATTATCTTTTTAAATTTATATTATTTGCTTAACCTTATCATTTATCTTCAGGTTTTACCTGCAACACAAAAACCAGAAGTCTTTGGTATGCATGAGAATGTTGACATTACTAAAGACTTGCAGGAAACAAAGCTTGTTAGTACTTTTCTTTTTTTTTTTTTTTTTTGGTTATTTCATTTCTGCTACTTATAATGTTAAGTTAGGGGAGGGGGGGCTAATACCAGTATAGTAGTTTTATTTTTAATTATGTTATATATTCTAGTGGCATGCCTCAGATATTAAAATTTCTAATTTATCTGTCTTAAATTAAATAAAAAGTTAAATTGCATTATCTTTTTAGCAAATTTTGTTATTTTATACCTTTGATTAATTGTATTGCATTATTTATCTTTAGCATTATTTATGCATTATTATCTATAGCAAATTTTGTTATTTTTATATTTTTGACTGTATTCCATTATTTATCTAAGATAAATAGTAATTGCATTTAATTCTTAAAAAGAGAATTAAAAAAAAAAAAGTTTTATAATATTTGAAATCTAGTTTTATCAAGTATTATTGATCAACCAAAAATTAACTTTAAGCAATATATTTGTTGAAGTAAAAGCTGTATGGATAAATTGTGTTCTAAAAAAACATGATTTTACCTTCACATAAATGAATTGTATAAATGTAAAATTTAAAGTTTGTAACAATAAATGAATTTACATATAATTCTATTCAATAAATGAATTTACATATAATTCTATTCATCTATTATTTTTTCTCTTTTTTATTGTGGTATATTACTGATTTTAGTATAATTTATTAAATTTATTATTTTAAACTTACTTTATTATTCCAACTTGTATTATAAGTATTATTAATATCTCAATCTTATTTTTATTTAGTCTGACAGGTGTTTACTTTATATTAGTACAAATTACTATTTGTAAATATCCTTGATATATATAACAACTATATTCAGAATATATTTGATTTGATTTTGATTTTAATTTGATTTGATAATAATTATAAATAATATAAATGAGATGAATTATAATTTCTTTAAAATAAGAAAAAGATTTTTATTTCTATAACGTTCTTTGACTGACATATTGCCATAAAGTAAAAAGCTTTAGTTTATTTTATTAATTTTTTTTTTGTTTTTAACATTAAGGTTTTACAATAAATTGTATAGGTATAAATTGTCTGTCAACCTAGTTTGAGAAGTCTAGAATTACAAATTGATCCACAGTATTCTAGATAAGGGTGGGCTAGAGCTGAAAATAGTTTTTTGAATGATAATAAATCTGGATATGATGTAAATGTTCTTTTTATTATTTCTATTATTTGTATTGCTTTGTTTACTTGAATAATTGTGTATTTGAAAAATAATAAGTTTGAATCTATGTGAACACTTAAATCTCGTTCTCAATTCGTGGGTTTAATGTTTACTTATATTTTGTTCTGGATCATGCATATTATAAGTATGGGATTTGTTGTTGTGTCCCAAGTGCATTACAGAACATTTATCAATCTTAAATTTCATTTCTCATTTTTGAGACCATGTAACAAGAGCGTCAATGTCATTTTGTAATTCTTGCACAGATTGAGTTTTTTTCAATAGAATGGATGATTTTGGTAATGTCAGCAAAAAGATCAGCTTTTAATTTGATTACTTCAGGGATATCATTGACATATATAATAAAAAGTAACGCTGAAAGGATGGAGCCTTGGTGAACTCCACTTTTAATGGGTACCCAGTTTAAGTAGTCACCATTAACAACAACTCATTGTCTATAGTTTTTCAGAAAGTTTTTAATCCAATATAGTATTGATCCATTTATACCATAAGCTATAAGTTTAAAAATAAGTAATTTATGTGGAACTTTATGTGGAATATCATGCAGGGTCGACCTTGATGCGCCTTCGATTATGAAGTGTCTCACAATCTCGCTTTTCTTCCTATCCGGATGCAAATCGATTAATGCGTACATGCGCTTTCTGAGGTCTTCCTGTTTTGAGATAATTTTCTTTGCCATTATAAATAGTTGTTTGCTAAAAGATGTATTGCAATTTGTAGAGAATTAAATTTACTACAACATAGCATAAGTTGCAACAATTTTGCAACACTCTTTAAACAATTTATGTCGACCGAACTTTTGTCCGGATTTCTAGGTATCACATGTTATTTCGCTCATTTAAGTTTAAGTTCATCGATTATTTGAGAGTCAATCCATTTTTAACGTTTTATATTTTTAAAGTTTTTGGTGTAATATTGTTGATACTAGTTTTAAGTCTCCATTGTTGGTCTGAGTTAGATGTTGAACAGAGTTTAATATTTGCAAGGTCTTCATTATTTTTGTCATAGTTCTCTTTTGTGTATAAATGTTTTGTATGGTATGGCAGTATATTTACAATAGATTCAATCAATACAGTAAAGTAGAGTAGTTAATGATGACTTTTGCCAATGGGTGCTAGATGAGTTAAAAAGGAAATCATGTTTTCATCAGAAGTAAATAAGAGATCAATTGTAGATGGATTTTGATTTTGTCTGATGTGTGTGGCTTCTGAAATATGTCAGGTTAAAAAAGAATCACAAATATTCTCAGTAAATTTAATTGATTTAGAGGTATTTTTCATAGGTTGTTTTGGGTTTCGCCAGCTGATATTTGGGTAGTTAAAATCTCTAACAATAAGAATGTTTGGATATTTGTTTTAAAGTTTGGCTATGTGTTGATTTATGCAGATGTTTTCATTGTTACTATTTAGTGATCTAAAATCTAAACTTAACAATAACTTAGAAATTTTTGTTGTAATTTCACAACTGAGCAATTCAGATGAAAATATATCTAGGTTTATTTGGGATTACTTTAATTTGCTATGTATAAATATTGCTAAACCTCTTCAGCAAGAGCTATTGCTATGGTTTGTATGTAATAAGTAATTTTAAATAGAAAACTTGAGATCATTAACTTAAACTTTTTTATTTTTAGGCAGAGTTTCTGTTAAAAAGTAATTTTGAGTTTCAGTTTGTTTACAATTTGTTTAAGCTCATGGCGTTTATCTAATAGGAAGTCAATGTTTGTGTAAATAGCTTTTATGGATTTAATTTCAGTAATTTTTTAATGGTTTGAAAATTAATCCAATTTTTTATAGTTTATTTATATTTTTTGTTTGCTAAAATTGAGTTTGATGATTTAGTTGCACCTAATGTACTATTGAAACTGGTGAGTTTGGTTCACTTTCTAGGAGCAGTTGGTTTTTTTGATTTCTTCCTTTTCTAAGTTGAGAATCAATTTACCTTTCGGGGAGTATCATATCCGGATTAATGAAGACATTTGTATATTTTATGTTTTTGCGTAATTCCCTTGTTGCAAGTAAAACTTTATTGTGTTAGCAATTTTCAGGAAGTTTGTCATTAATGGACAGAGGAGTTTTTGAGACTTTTTTGTTTTTTAATTTTATTATTTTAATAAGTTTTTCATTGCCTTTACCAATATCCTCAAATATCTGGTCAATTATTTTTTTATCGTCGTTGTTTTTTTCAAGTTCATTTACATTTATTGATTCTGGAATTCCAAAAACAATTATGTTCTTTTCACGCTTTTTTTTCTCTTCTTGTTTAAATAATATGATTTTAGTAATTGATTTTACAACAATAGCTTTTTCTGCAGATTTATTTTTTTTATAAAGATTTGACCAAAACGTAGCTTAATTATTTTCAGTTTCTTTTTTCGATTCTAATAATTCAATTCTTTTTATGTCACGTATAATTTGGATAGTTACGAACAGCTAAGTTTACTTAGTTTAATCACGAATATTGTTATGACATCAATTTTATGAAATTAATAGTAAATGAATAATAATAATATCAAATAACAAATAATAACAGGAATAATAGTAATAGTAAAATAAAATTTACAATTTAATAAATCTCAAAGAAAAAAATATATTTATTGTATTATATTTATTATATTATATTATACAAATTTTATAAAGAAACAAAATAATATATCAATTAAAAGATTAGGGGAAAAAAACGATATGGAAAAATAGTGAAGCTAAAAAATTAGCAAACAAAACAAAAAAAGACTTAGAATAAAAATTTAAATTTAGATAAAATAAAGAAGTTAATAAGAATTTAAGTAGAGATAATAGTAATAATTATGTTCTTATGTATTCAGGAAAAAAAAATACACAACTTATCACATTAAATTATTGTTAACTTAAAGTAGACTCCAACACAACCTTTTTTTTCCTCTTTTTTTTTGAAATTTGTGTTTCTACCTCCAGATGATAACTAAAGTATGAAGCAAATGTTTACTATAAAATATTTTGTTTTTCATTGATGAGTTGTTGTTAACTTAAAGTAGACTCCAACAAAACTGTTTTTGGATGAGTACTCTTGTAGTTGGCTTTTTTTTTCCTCTTTTTTTTTTTTTTGAAATTTGTGTTTCTACTTCCAGATGATAGCTAAAGTATGAAGCAAATGTTTACTATAATATATTTTGTTTTTCATTGAAAAATATGGAAAAAGAATTTGACATTCTTTTTACATAAGTTTTCTCATCTACCAAATAGTATGTAATTTATGTTATTATTATTTATATATATAGTACTACAATTATTGTTGTAAATTTATACTAAATGTTTATTAATATTACTAATAACACCCTATAAATAGAGTTTCTGATAACTTTTAATTGCATTTATTATGTAATTTATTTCATGCACGCAAAAAAACCTTTATACTTATTTGAAAGAGGATTTTATAATCTATTTAAATTTAATTTAATTAAGTTAAAAATATTATTTAAATATTGAAAATAAATTGGTCAAAGTAAAGGATCTTGGAAAAAGTAATGGAAATTTTTTTTCCAAAAATATCAAGAAAAAGGTAAAGCGAACATTCGAACTTTCAAAAAAAAAAATTGTCCAAATTGTAGCTATCAGCAGAAGAAAGCTATGCGTCCTAAATGTCGAAAATTATAAAAACTTGGATTTTGTTAGATGATGAAAGCTATTTTACCTTGTTATAGATGATGAAAGCTATTTTAAACAATAGTACATTAGCTGGTAATGATAGATTTTATGCCGCTGATCCTTCTCAATGTTCTGACAAAATAAGATACAATTGTTGCATCAGTCCCCGTGGAATATGCCCTCTTTATATTCATCACAGTAAGCAGGCAATCAACCAGTACACTTATAAAGAGATACTAGAAAAGACTTTACCTCCTCTATATCAGAATATTACAAAAAAGACAATGAGTTAATCTTATGGCCTAATCTAGCTCGATCACATTATGCAAAGTTGGTCATCGACTTTTTATAATTTAAAAAAATCAAAGTTCTACGCAATGATATAACATTTAAGAAGCAAGACCAATTGAAAACTTTTAGGGTGATTTAAAACGGCTAGTGTACGTTATTAATTGGAGAGCTGAGAATTCGGAAGAGCTTGAAGCAAGAATCAGATATTGCTGTTCAAAGATGAATAAAGAAATTTTCCTTACTCAAATAAAACACCTTTCAAAAAAACTTTATAATATTGCTAAATATGGTATTTGAAATAATTATTTTAATATATTTATAAACTACATATACTAACATATTAACAGTTGAAATATTAAATAATAAAACTTATTAGTTCTTAAAATATGATTTTTTAAATTTTGTCTAAAATTTTATTTATGAGGTGTTATTAAAAACTATCCAAACAGATCAAACTAAATATTTAATTTTTTTTTTTTTAAATAAAGTAATTAGTTATAACTCTTATAAACTTTAAAAACAAATTTGCTTGTCCATTAGGTACAGTTTACTGGATATTAATTTAGGAACAGCTTTCTTTTCTTTTTTATTATTATCAATTTTACATTAAAAATATTTTCAAATTTTTCCAAGTAGCAGTTTTTGAGGTGCATTGATTAGTGATTTTATTGTTTATAGCTGTTTGACTCTGTCCTTATGATTTTTTCTCAAAAGTCAAGTGTTGGAGGTGCTGCAACAACAGATGATTTGCTTATTGAAATTTCAACTGATATATTGTCAAAGGTCAGAATAGAAGTTTTTAGTAGTTTTTTTCTTAAATCTTTATATTTGTATATTGTATATATATATATATATATATATATATATATATATATATATATATATATATATATATATATATATATATATATATATATATATATATATATATATATATATATATATATATATATATATATATATATATATATATATATATATATATATATATATATATATATATATATATATATATATATATATATATATATATATATATGTATATATATATATATATATATATATATATATATATATATATATATATATATATATATATATATATATATATATATATATATATACATATATATATATATATACAATATACAAATATAAAGATTTAAGAAAAATATATATATATATATATATATATATATATATATATATATATATATATATATATATATATATATATATATATATATATATGTATATGTACATGTATATATATGTGTGTGTGTGTGTTGTATTTATTTAGCTTCCAAATAATTTTAACTTGGAGGAGGCAAAAACAAAGTATCCTGTTCTTTATGAGGAAAGCATGAATACTGTGCTGGTTCAAGAGATGGAAAGGTTTAATAAGTAAGATTTATAAGATTATATTATAATTAATATATTTCATGTTTAGATTTCATGTTTTAATTACACATGTTAAAAGTTACAACTATTCAGCTGTTTCATGTTTCTCTTTTTTTACATTGATGATATAGTATTGTTTTTATATTTATTTTGTTGCATTTTGGGTAATAAAAAATGTTTAATTGTATGATACTTAAGTAAAGATTTCTTTTTTAAAGTGTAATTGTTAAACTTTTAACTTTTTTTTTTTGAGTTATCTGATGCATGCTGTGACAGTACTATCACTATGAAAATAACATATATATTTTGACTAAATAATTTAATATTACAAAGAAGTAATTATAAGTTGATTTAAAGTTTTGCTTCTAAAAAAGTTAATAATAAACTTGGATTATTAAAAAATAAGAATAAAGTTTACTCAAATCAAAAATGTCTTCAGTTATTATGTTATCAGTTAAAATTACACTTATACATAAAATCTATAATGACTGTTTATAATTTAGAATACTAATGCTCCCTTTAGATTACTTGATGTCATTCGCTCTAGTTTAATAGATTTACAAAAAGCGTTCAAGGGATTGCTTGTAATGTCATCTGGTTTGGAACAAATGTCTCAAACCCTCTCTGTTGGAAAGGTATAAACATACTTATATATATATATATATATATATATATATATATATATATATATATATATATATATATATATATATATATATATATATATATATATATATATATCTGTGTGTGTATTTTTTTTTTTTTTTAATTACTTTTAGGTTCCAGAGTTATGGGCAAAAAGTTCTTATCCGAGTTTAAAACCTTTGGGAAGTTATATTATAGATTTCATTGCTAGAATAAATTTTTTACAGGTTTTTAATTTAATATTTTTTATTTTCTTTGGTGGTTGTATAGATAAAATAAAGGTATATTGTTTATTAACTTGTATAAATAAATATATGTGTTTACAATGTTTATATATATGTATACATGCACATAAACACAAGTTCATCCATTTGAGCATATTAAAAAAAGTTTAACCCTTTTACTATTGCTTGCGTCCATTTTAATATTGTTGAGATTCAAGATTTTACCTTCTTGTTTAATTAACACTTTAGACATTTTAAATATATAATTAGATATATATGATATTATGATAAAACAAGATTTAGTCTATATTAGGTGTTTATTATGCTCTATCTTATTAGCCAAATTTGTGGAACGTCTTTGCTTTTATTTTTATAAATACAAATACATTACTTTAAGACTTTTTGTTTTTATCTGATATTAATGAAAACTATAACGGTATTGTATATCTAGTAATATTCGTATGGTAGCTTTATAACTTTTATGATAATTTCTAAAATACATAAGTATACCTTCAAATGGGGGAAGAAGAATTGGAGAAGGGTATTTTTATTTGTTTACTATAGTATTTAGATTTTTATCAGAGTTATTTTTTTTTTTTTTATATAACACTAACCATGACAAAAAATCTTGAAAAAAATACTATTAAAGAAGCATTTTTTTGAACCTTTTTCATTTTTTAATAAATATTTATTGTTTTAAAATGTTTAACATGTTGTTATGTTTATGTTTATTATTATAAAAACATTATTATTATTATTATTATTATTATTAATTATGTTTTTGTTAAATTTTTTAATTTTTACAACTTTTCTAAGAATTGGTACACACATGGAAAACCAAATGTTTTTTGGCTGTCTGGTTTTTATTTTACCCAGGTAAATACAAAACTTTCCTTTTTTTTTCCCTTTATATCTTCTAATATCTTATTAATTATAAATGTCTATATGTATACGTATGTATATAAATAGGCGTTTTTAACTGGTGCCAAACAAAATTATGCTCGAAAATATACTATTCCTATTGACCTGCTTGGGTTTGATTTTCAAGTATTTTCGAGAGATGATATGGATGCTGAAGCTGAAGATGGAGTTTATGTACACGGTTTGTTCCTAGAAGGAGCTAGATGGGATAGAGAATGGTCAGTTTTTTCTTTTCAATGCAAAAATGATACTTTTTAAAGTTTTTTAATGTGTTCATTTAGTTTTTAATATTTTTATTTGCGTAGTGGAGTTTTAGCCGAGGCATATCCTAAGATTTTGTACGATCAAATGCCCGTGATTTGGATTAAACCTGGAAAAGCCGCTGATATTAAAGAAAGAAAAATTTATTCTTGCCCTGTGTATAAAACAAGTGAACGCAGAGGAACGCTTTCAACCACAGGCCACTCTACTAATTATGTTATACCTATTTATTTGGATACAAATGTTGATCCACGTCATTGGGTCAAAAGAGGTGTGGCACTTTTGTGTTGTCTCGATGATTAACGGTGAAACTTTTTTCTTTTTTTTTTAAAAGGTTTTCCAACTCTTAGACTTCCAATGAGAGAGATTTTCGTTTATTAAAGCTCAGATTATTTATTTTTATTTGCTCAATGAAATTTTATAACATGAAATTAATGAAAAATTAATAAAGTTTTAAAATTATAAAGAAAATTGTTAATAAGATTTATAGCTATTTTTTATCAAATGTAAATAGAGTCATAATTATAAATAAATAACTTAAGTAAATTACATGCATTGCAAAAGTTTTTTAGTTTTTAATTAATATAACTTTCCTGTAAACTCGCTTAGCTGCTTTGTTATTATGATTTTAGGTCTACACATAATTAAAAAAGTAAACTAAAATTAAAAAAAAGAAAACAAGTATCTATTTTATAAAAAACCGTTTATTTTGATTATAATTATTGCATATTAAGGTATCTTTTGGGTCCCAAACTTGGCAAGAGAGGTTAAAGTTTTAAAGTTATTATCTTAAACATTTGGAATTGTGCCATTTGAAATCAAACGGGCAATCGTGTCGACTTTAAAAAAAAAAACTTAACGATATTAAACACTAAACATAAATTAAAATTATTTTTAAAATAATATTAACGAAATAATAAAAAAAAGTTGTTTACAGGCAAAAACAACAAAAAGTTACTGTTAGGTATAACAAACAAAAAATTACGTTAATTGACTTTAATTACTGAAAACTTAACAAAGCATACAAACAATTCAAACTTTTAACGTTAAATAAGTTTCTGAACAAAAATTAGGAAAACTTTTTGCGTTTTTTCTCGCATTCTCTTGATTATAGTCAAACATATATCTAAACACAAAATAAATTATATAATCATAACATAGATTATAAATTAAAATTTGTGGAATTAAGATTCCACATTTAAGATATATATATATATATAAATTAAGATATATATATATATATATATATATATATATATATATATATATATATATATATATATATATATATATATATTTAAAATACAAAATCATGCTAAGATCTTGGGATGATGTTTGCATATGATAAGTTCTACGAAAATAAATGTACTATAAAGCCATCATTTAAAGTAATAAATCTAAAAATCACTTTACTAGTTAAATAAATACTTCATAGCATTTACTCTATAAGAGATATGCATACTAAAATACGAAGAACATTCAAGCCTTACACCTAAAATTTAAATTTATTATATTATATATCTACTTTTCATTAATGGTATACAACTTCATGATTCTAAGTCTGAACGAGATCTTGGAGTTATATTTTCGACAAATCTTAAATGGAAAGATCAAGTAACTATGGCAATTGGAAAAGCAAATCAAATGCTGGGGCGAATAAAGAAATCGTTTGCAAGCTTTGATTGTCAACTTATGAAATCTCTTTAATTAACATTCATTCGTCCACTTCTTGAATTTGCGATTCCAGTTTGGTCTCCTTATATGAAAGGAGATTGTAATGCGATTGAAAAAATATAACACAGAGCAACTAAAATTGTTTCATCAATTAGCAATCTCAAATATGAAGATCGACTTATTGCTTTAGGCTTAACAACCTTAACTGAGAGAAGAAAAAGGGGAGATTTGATAGCACTATACAAACTTATGCATGGTATTGACAAAACAAACATAAGAAAGTCTTTTCCACTTGTTAAAAATTTTTTAGGAGGGCATTGTTTTAAATACCACAAAGAATTCGCTAAACATCCTTCGAGGGAACATTTTCTTTTTAACAGAATTGCGAATACATGGAATTTACTTCCGATTGAAATTGTAACAGCTAAGTTGTTTTAAAAGAGGTCTTGATTGCTGGCTGAACACCAATCAAGTATAACTGCTGTCATACTGTGTGCGACATCACGCTCACTGGATTTGTCCAGTACAGCATTAACTACTATAGTAATACTATATAGTAAGTTATTGTTGATACTATTAATATCAACAATAACTTACTATATATAGTCTTTTTACAATGTTGGACTGCTAGAAATAAGGTTTACGTTCAAAATCTTTTAGTGAACTGATCAAAACTGTATGTTTTGTATTTAAATTGTATGTAAAACTGTATGTGAAATTGTATGTAAAACTGATTTAGTTTTACAATTTTCAAAATCTTTTAGTGAACTGATCAAATTTTTTCTAAAAACAACCATAAACAATAAAGAAAAATTTTATTTTACATAGAATTTTACTATCCTGCATGACTATCCTGCATGAATGTTATAAACAAATAAATTTAACAATGTATTCTAATTATAGTTGTAATTTCAATGTATTCTAATTATAGTTGCAATTTTAAAATTTACTATTTTACTACATATTTTACATATGAACTTTTTCCCTGGCTTTGAAATGATCCATTTTATATATAACATGTTGTGTGAGTGCACTTTAATAAACTTAAAATCACTCAAAATTGAACTAAGAATGCACAAGTCTTGTGTCAAGAATCCTACTAAACATAGTCTCGTTATAAGCAATCCAGGGACCAAATAAAGCTCATGTAATTTTAAAATTAAAAAGAATAGAACAGTTTATATTAAAATGCCTGGTGAACTTTCTTCGCCCTGCAGGTGAAACTTTAGAACTTATTTTTGGAGATAAATCTGTACATAAAAATAACTTTAAAAAAATCTTCACTAATGGTAGTTCAACATGTATTTTCAGTTATAAATACAACGGAAATTTCCGTATTTGAAAATTTAGCTACAAATACGGAAAATTTCCGTACATAATCGATTGATACATCCATACCTGGACATACGGATACTTTCCGTTGAAATAACGGAATAAATTTCCGTTTTTATAACAGAAATTTTTAACAGTGTACGTGCGTATCTGAGGTTTTTTTTTTTTTTTCTATTGTTATTTAGGTGCCCCAAGAAAACCTAACGGTCTTGTCACAGAGCAACGCGGATGTGTATTTAACCAGAAAGTTCACGCCTCCTTCCTTACCGTGACGCGAAATAATGTCCAAGGCTCGTTTCGAACCTGGATCTCCTGCTTATAAAGCAGGCGCTCTAACCACTGCGCCACGGCCGCATTGACGGCACCGATTTTAAAGATTTTGTTTTTTTATTTAACGGCCAGATTGGCGACACCGATTTTAAAGATTTTGTTTTTTTGTTTAACGCAGTAAAAATATTATTTTTAAAATGTACGTTTAAATATATACAAAAGAAATTACTAAAGTATACAACCCATTTACAACAAAATAAAGTTAAAGTAGAAGGTGCTCAAAGAGAATTAGTATGACATTGCTTGATCACAATCTTCTGATAGACCTTTGCAAAAGTTTAAATAATATATCGTATTGGAACGGTATAACAAAAATAATTATAATTATGAAACAGTCAAACAAAAATAAATTAGTTACAATAAAAACGAAAATTTCTCTTATGATCATAAAATTTAAAAAAATTTTTAGTTTGAAACTTAAATGAATTTCACCATGAATTTGTTTTCTTTTTGACAGTCATTCCATAATTTAGGTTCTCGATAAGATATACAAAATTCTGTTTATTACATTTCCGAGACTGATCATAGTTGTTTTTTTTATTTGATTTTAGATCAAGTAAACTTAAAACAATTAAACTAACGAACTTAAAACAATTGCTACGCTTAATGAGTTTAAGAACAAGCTAAAGCATAAACTATTGATGAACGACGTAGCGTTCAGCTTCTCTTGAAGTTTTAATGATTGCTAGTGTTAAACTTACCCAACAATTAGAGGTTTGTTTCTATCGGCTTGATGACCTTAGAAAAGGATTATGCCACTTGTTATTGCTTCAATTCTTTTTTTTCTTTTTCTTTTTTTAGTAGAAAAAATTATGATTTATAAGAATTGTTCACATATTTCAAGGTATATGCTGGCATAAGAGGAAAGCGTCAGGATTATGCGTATTTGCTAGCATGCTTTTTAGTAATATAATTTCTTTGTACTGATTACTTTTTTTTAATTTTTTTTTTTAATTTTTCTTAACCAATACAAAAACAAAAAGTTAAAGTAGGATATTAGAACGGATGATTTTTTGTTTTATAGAAAAGTTTTTTGTCTTTAGAAAAACTTTTATACTATATGAATCGCTAACTTGAAAAAGGGGACATGTTATGTGAATTTTTGCAGGACATGTCCCCTTTTTCAAGCTAGCGATTCATATAGTGTTACGTTTTTTAGTTTTTGTTGTTTTATATTTACGGTATAGATTAAGAGGCTTGGTGATAAGACCAATTATGTCTTCTTATTGCCCCTGCTATTTCTATTAAAATTATCGTTTAGGGCTGGAATAAATTTATATGGCGAATAAAAAAAAAAAAAAAGATTATACTTTTCATTTAGATTTAACTTGTTAAAGTTTTCTGGCAAGAAGTTGTAGTATCTATACATAAAAAAAGATTATGATATTTATTTCAAACATATTCTTCATTTTCATATCTTTCACAAGAGGTTTTGCGTGTTTTTGTTTATATTTAGAGTATATGATTTGGAAAGCGTGATTTTGTATCTATAAATTTTGTGAAGTTTTGTTCTTTGTGTACTTGTCTATGATATATTTGCATAGTTGTCAGTTAATTAGCAAAATATATATCAGTTTGAGACTTAACATATGGATGCATGGTCGGACTCAATAAACTACACTAGAATTTTTTTTACAGGTATTACTCACAAAAAAAACTAACCTATTTAGCTGTAAATATTTCAGGTAATTTTTTCCTGCTGCACATAATCATGTCCGTACGGAGAGGGGGGGGGGGGGAGAAGCGTTGTTGGGTGCAATCGACCCTCTTTTTTAAAAAATTCTTTTTGTTTCACGTAAGTTTTGTTATAAAAATTGAGCAAGATTTTTATTTGCTATTTGCAATACCTTTCTTTGAAAAATGGTTTTTTCCTCCTCCTCCCTAAATGAATCATTTAAAATAACTGTTGAACTAGTCGATAATTGTTGAACTAGTCGCTTTTTAAAATGAAATACTTAAAAGTCAGAGTAAACGTTTTATATTTTTTAGCCTAGTGATGTGTGTAAAAAATATTTTTATATATGTATGTTTAAAAAAATGGTCTTCAAAACTAAAAATTCACCCAACTGAAATGTGTCAAATTCCCGACTAGCCGCCTATATTTCTCAAAAAACCGGCTAGAAATTTAAAATCACCTTCTTTGGGGGGTAATTTTGTGGGTGAATACCTCCATCCCACCCTTTGCCTGAAAAATCGCCTCTAATTATAACAATTAATTTAATAATTAAAAGTTAAATTTTACTTTTTCCAAAACTATTTTTCCTTTCTCTTTCTCATTTCCGTAGAAAAGTTGATACGCGTAAACTCACTTTTATGCTAAAGTTAAACTATAATATAGTTAAACAAAAAGGTATAATTAACTAGTCTATTAAAATAAATTTATAAATGTATAAAAAATTACATTAAACTTTATCAGAACTATTTTATTTACTGCTTAACGCGTACACGTTACACTTGATGTTCCATCTAATGATAATTTGAAAATTATGTCAATTATTAGTTCCATCTAATGTTAATTTAAAAATAATGCTAATAATACCACACAGCTTTTAAAGTTGTGACTTTTGAAACGAATACAATAACTTAATATGACTTGTATCAAATTGTCAGAAAATGTAAACTAGAATAACTTGACTTTATAAAAATCTTTTGCATGATAATAAAGATCATCTAACGATGTTACTTATTTTACTTGTATTTGCGGTTGCAAACAGTATTTTTGCGTTTTTTTGTTTGTTTGTTTGTTTGTTTTGTTACAGTTATTAATGTTAAGAAATTTATCAAATAATGCAAAACCTTTTAAATAACGGTTTAGTATTTGCTTTTAATCTTGGATTTAACGTACTTGTTGTTTTGCTTCCACTAATTTTAAATGCGTTTGATTTAAGTATAGTATTATCTTTTTCTAACTTCTTGTTGAGCATTTTTTTTGCTATTGTTCTAAAAAGATACTCAACATTATCGTCACGTTTGGCTGAACATTCTACAACCAACTCAATATTTTCAAGCAACGCAAAGTTTAACGCCATATCTTCTGATATTACTCGTTCATCAACAAGATCGTTTTTATTGCCAACCAAAATTCGTATCATATCGCCATGACTACAAACCTCTTGTGACCAAGATTGTAGTTCAAATAAAGAATTTGCATTCTCAAGTGAATATACTAATATAGCACCGTCAGCATTTCTGTAATAACTTGTTGTTAAGCTTTTAAACTTCTCACTTCCTGCACTATCCCAGATTTTTAACTAAAAACAAATCCAGAAGAAAGATATTAATTGGTTTCATAACCGAGATTTATACCATGAATTATATTTTTAGTTACATATAAGCATTGTGTGTTGTTTGTTGTATGTTGATTTGTATAAAGAGTGATTTCGATTCCCGAAATGTTTAAACCAAATTTAATAATAAGATTTATTATGATAATAATATACCCTTAAAAAAACGTTAAAATATTTTATTTCATTAAAAGTATGTTTAATGTTAGTGACCATTATAAAATAGCAGTTAAAAGAAAATGAATGTGAAGAAAAATAGTACAGTGATAGTTAGGTTTGTGAAGACTGAGATGGTGGAATTGTAAAAATAGACATGATTTGTTTTTATATCTTGTTTCTGTTAAAATAATGGTGTTTGAGATCAAATTAAGACATGATTAAATAAGAAACAGAGTGTACGCTTACTTCTACTTTAATTCCATCTAAATCAATAACTTTAGTGCCAAGATCTATACCTATTGTTGATACTTCGATTTCTGGAAAATATCGTTTTACATAGCGTCGCATCAAAGCTGTTTTTCCAACACCTGATTGCCCTACTAAAATTATTTTAAATGATACAGCTGCAGCCATGCTTCAAATATCAACTTTTTTTTGTTTGTTTAAAATGCTTTTTAAGTTTAATGATGTTTTCCAACATAGAAATGGTCATTAAATAAAAAATTTCATAGAAGCTTTAAGTTGAAACAAATTACGTAATCTGATTTTTGTCTATTCGCATTCATAACTTATGCGCAATGCAAGCTGAATTCAAAACATAAAGTTCTTACATTATTTACAATATAAATTAAACATTACAACGTTTTGTACATTTGCCATTTTCGCTTTTTTGCGCATGCGCCTAATTTTCAGCGCATTCTTAAAGTTATTACATTTAAACGTAATAACTTAAAGAATGCGCAGAAAGTTAGTTTTAAAGAAAAAGAAGTATTCCTTTTTCTTTGAAACCTAAAAACCTGAAACCCCTCTAACCTCAAATGTGATGGCTTAAATTGAAAAAGTTCAAAACTTTACATAAATTCACAACTTTTGCATTAATTTAAGCTCTCAGTATTTTGATTTGCTAAAATTGAAAAAGAAAAAAAAAGTGGATTAAAGTAACTTAAAATACAAACACAAATTTAACCAATGGGAGCATAGTTTGCAAAAGATAGCTGCAAATATTGAAACTCTCACAATCTTTATACCTTTGTCACATACAAATTCTCACATTTTTGATTAATATTTTTCGTTCTTTTGAAGAAAAGCAGAAACTTTATTATTGCATAATGAGTTTTGTGTTGAAAAAATGTTGTTTTGCAAGGGTGGTACATTATTAGGAAAAATTACCCAAATCTTCTTACAAACACTGTCTGTAGATGTAATGATTTAAAACTGTAACGGATGTTTATTTATGAGCTGTTGTTTATTTCTCAAATAAACTCTATAAGTAAAATTTCCAATTTTATTTTGAACAAATGTGGATTACTTCCCAAAAACTTACAAATTACAACCCAAAAAAATAAATCTTCAGAACGGGTTAAAGCTAAAACATGCGGTAGAATTAATCAGCTATTAACATGTTTGGAAGATAACCCTGGATATATTTTCATTATTTTCCTGGATAATCTTTCTGTTTATTTATGTTTTGATACAACAACAACAAGAAAAACAAGAAAAACAACAAAAACAACAACAACAACAGCAACAACAACAACAACAACAACAAGATATTTATTTTCCTCAAAATTTAAAATCATATAACTACAATAATATAACAATAATAATAATAATAATAATAATAATAATAACAATAATAACAAAAATTATAAGAATATCTATAATATTATAAATAATAAAATTAAAATATAATTATGAAGAATAAATATAAATAATTGATCACTCATGCAGAACCCTGATCAAAGAAGTAACACCAAATAATTATATTAATAATATTAATTTAAAAAATAATAATAATTACAATTATAACTTTATTCATTAATAGAGCAAAAATATTAGCAAAAATAATAGTATTTATAATAATTGTAATAATAATAGTAATAATAAAAACAGCAGTAATGAAAGTAATAAATATTAATGACAAAAATAATAAAGTTTCGATAGAAATTGTAAGAAAGAAAAAAAAAAGAAAAATAAAAGAAGTTAATAATGATAAAAAATTTTTTTTTAGAACTGGTTTAAATTTATTGTTTTAAATAAAGAAATAAAAATAAATTATTTTGAAATTTTAACTTTCAAACTCATTCACAATGCTCAAACGACTTCGATTCCATTCACTGATGCACTGATGTGAATGCTTACTATACCTCAAAGTTTTATAGGGAGGTACATTTTGTTATTTTCATTATTAATGTTTCTAGTTAAATGTGAATGTATAATTCGAGTATAATGTATAAATCGAGTTTCAGTGAAGGTTGCAATAGAGGAAGGTAAATTTTTATTAAAAGAGTCAAAAACAAAGGGAAAAAAAACAAAAACAAAGATTAGCAAATTTAACTAGTGCTGACAAGGTAGGAGTTTTAAGTTTTTTGAAGAATTTTGAAGTTTCTGTATTAGGGAGTTAAGAATAAATTATTCGGATTGATTGGCGATCAACTGATAACAATTTACAGTTTTAAAGTATTACAGTTGCCAATGTGTCCCCAAACTTGACAACTGTAGTTGAGATGTACAGATTCTTAAGGGTAGTTTTATCAGCATAATGACAAATTATTGAAAAATTGTCATTAGCATGATTAAGTTTTTTGCCGAGTGTATCTATATGAAAATTGAATTTTCTGTAACCACAAGACGTGTCCACAAATTTTGTCAAAATCAGGACAATTCCAGTAGAAAAAAATGATCACAAAACCACCATTGACAAAATAGCTAAAAGTGCATGATTTAAGTTTGCCAATGATCACATGATATGGAACACAGAATGAAAAAATGTTTGTTTTTTTTCGATGAAAAAAAGTTTAACTTAGATGGGTCTGATTGTTTTAAGTATTATTAGCAAAATTTGAAAAAAAAAACAGATAGCATTACTATTAGTGGAGGAGGAGGTTATTATTAAACTTTGGAGGCAGGTTAGTTATGGAGTAGGCTGCATTTTGTTTTTACGACAAAATCACAATACGTTTTATTAAAATAAAAATGAAAGCAAGAAATTACAAAGACCTTTTAGAGGATGTTTCAATTGAGTTTAGTGAAGGTTTACCTACTGAGAATAGGATTCTCCAAAAAGATAAGCATAGCACGAAGTGTAAACAATGATACCATGAAAAAAAATATACGTGTTTTGGATTGGCCATCACGTTCATCCGACTTGAACTCTATTGAAAATTTATGGGAAATATCAGCATGAACTATAAATAGCACAAACTATATATGATAATGGCGAAAAACTTTACACCAGCACAACTTAAACTTTACACCAGCACAACTTAAAGAAATCTATGAAAATCATGAGAACATTATTATGAAAATTTTTAATGATCGAATTAAAAAAATGGAAAATAAATTTAATAACTTAAAAGATAAAAACTTTACGTTAAAAAAAGAATTATCTGAGGTACAGAAAGCTGTAGAATTTATAAGTAAAAGCTATGATAAAATAATAAATTAACTTTACATAAATAAATAAAACAGAGTCGAAAAAATCACCAGATGGAAGTAATATTGAAAATGGAAACAATAGCATAAAAGAGAAAATAATTACGCTGGAATTATTTGATTAAAATAACCAAGTTGCCTATCAATCTGATGATACCTTAATAAATGAGCTGTGAAGGAAGACCTAACTTTATACTGGTGCTTACATCCATCATATGGACAAGTTACTAAAACTCCATTTTTAGCATGTGATTTAAATGAACTAATAATTTGTGGAAAGGCAGTTCAATTTTGCAGGTTAAAACTGAAGATACTCTTTTCTTTTCAATGTTTGCAAATTTATTAAGCAGTTTTCCATTATTGGTTTGATCATGAAGTCTATACATATGAGCAGTAAAACCTCCTAAAGTCCCGAAGTCATTATTATCTTCATTCTTTTTGTTCATTATTCAACGGAAAATTTCGTATATGAAAATTTCATTGTAAATACGAAAATGTCCGTCAATATTTGATAAATTCCGTTCAAATAACTGAATATATTTCCGTATTTTAACGGATACTTTTAATAGTGTAAAAGACAGAAGCCGTAGAAACACTTTGAGATTTGTTGGGATTGAAGATAAAGCTAATGAACTTGGGAAGAAAGTGAGCAAAAAATCAAAGCTTAATATACAAGAAAAAATTTTAATAGATAGACCCCATCGAGTTGGAAAAAAAACAGGAAAAAACAGATTAATAGTTGTTTGATTTCAAAACTACAAAGACAAAGCCCTGGTGTTAACCAAATATACGACGATGAAGCTTTGGAACGAGCAATTGTACGTTAAGATTTTAGCGATTTTACAATCAACAACAACAACAACAAACAACAAGCTATTTATTTTCCGTAAATCATTTTACAATAGTTTTGATAATAATGATAATAATAATAATAATAATAGCAAAAATATATAATAATAACATAAGATAAAAAAAAAATGATTATACAAATTATAGTAATAGTAATAATAAGTGTGTTTACAATAATTACAATGAAAAAATAATTATAATAACTAATATTAATATAATAATAAGTTAATGATTTACTAGGATGGTGTCAATCATACAGAAATCTGATAAAAGGAGTGATACCAATTATCGCTTTACGAAGAAAGCTTTTCAAAGAAGCGAAAGAATTGAGAGAGAAAGGTAAGTATGCTGAAGTAACTTACATTAAATTAATTACATGTGACCTATAATTATAAAGGAATTCTTTTAATATTCTATAATCAAATTTAAAAAACAAAAATGGATGACTACAAATCCTTTACTTTTAATATTCACGATAAATGCTTAAAATCAGATCCTAATTCAGATTCAGATGCCAACTTTTTGATGTGAACACAAGTTGTTCTTATCTTTAACCGAACGAGTTAAAAGAATTTTATTCACAAAAATGGCACTGAAAATCAAAAAATCAGAATCCTTCACATTTTTTTTGATTTTTTAGATAAAACTGAAAATATTTTTAATATAATTTGCTTAACTGAAACTTCAATTTCTTCGAATTAGTTTAAAAATAATTCTTTTTTTCATCTTTTAGGTTTCGAAACAATTTTATTAAAAAGACAAACAAATAAACGGGGTGGAAGAGTTCTTATTTACGTTAAGGAGCACATTATACATAACATTAGGAATGGTATTTGCGTTTCTGACGGTGATAAAAAAATTGTAACTATTGAAATTTTAAAGAATAAAAAAAAGTACTCTAATAAGCTGTAGACCACCTAAAAGTGAATCTGAAAATCTTAATTTTTCTTTTACAGCAGAATATCATTCACAAAGGTAGCAAAGAAAACAAAATTACTTTTATAATTGGAGATTTCAACATGAATTTAATTTAAAGTAAAGATTTAATTTATAGTAAAGATAAAAAAGTAAAAAGTTTTTATGATGATATATTTGAAGACTACACGGGAAGAAACGGCAGGGTCACATTTTTTCATTTTGCTATAACTCATTTTTAAACTTTTAAACCTATATAACTTTTTTATTTTTAGGGAAAGGATTAAAATTTTTAAGATATATTACAAAAAGAACTAACTTTTTATGCAATTAAAGTTGTATTTTTAATTTAAATATAATAA